AGCTTAACTAGTAACATAATGCAGTCCTCTGGAGCGGATATAAGCGGTTTATAAAGTTCATATTGCCACCACTACTAGATCGTCTCATGATACAGACCACGAACCGATGCAATGTTCAAATCTACATAAAATGAAGAATTACACATATGACTCATATCTTGATTTAAAAGTTGTGGAGCAGTAATTTTGTCAGCAAGTAGGAATATTTATTGAGTTTAATTGAAGACGGGTAAATATTATAAGATCTAGTGTTATATGCATTCATTTATTGCCAGTTTAACAAGTTGAACCATGTTGAATAAATTCATATGTCCCTAAAAATATTTCAACAATGTACTTTTATTATATCCGTGATAATATCAGTGATGTCTGAGCACATCTATTTCGCATATTTTAAATCAACTAATACGTGTTATATGGAGAGTAGATAATAATATAACAAGTGTCTCACTTTACCTGGAATCAAAAATGATACATGGTTAATTATAATCTTATGATATTCTGATATAGTTACATACTACACAATCCGTAGTGATGCGAATTTATATTTTACAAGCAATACTCGTACGTTTTATGTAGCAATATACTGAATGTTACGATCAGATACATTCTAAAATGGCCCAGACAATGTAATGTTTGTACACTGATATTGCTTCTCACGCTACACGAGTTATAATTTTACCCTTTGAGATACATGTCTAACTTCATTCTATTTTGAGCTCATCATTCTTTCTACATTCTATCCGTAAATTATTAAGTTTTTTATCTTATATCTTATCATGACATCGAATAGAAATACTGCGAGTAGCGTGTAAAATGACTCATTAAACACATTTCACTATTTATTACAGAATATAACACTTCATTACTTCAGCATCAATTGTGTTCATAAATCCTACTATACTTGTTATAATTACAATTAGACTCATATTAATTTGTAACTGATCATTACGAACAAATCTTAAGAGTCACACGCTGCGCGCGATACATAATCTTAGTCGAGACATAATGAGACAATTAGACTGTGAGACTGGACTCATATTATTATTAACTAACGTGATCAAGAGATCAATAAACGAGACGAGAGATCAGGAAAACGGAGTATAAGGTTTAAAAATGCTGATTGATATTACCTATAATATCGTAAATACTAAAAATAGTTATCTGATGTAATCATTTTATATCACAGTAAATTATTCTATAATTCAACATCTAGACTCAAAATTTCAAGAATGAATTATTGAAGAGTTCAATTAAATCTGAAGACTCGTTGAATTTATTAAATTTATAAAGAAAATCGTCCAATATTACACATATATCACCTAGCGTACTATATATTTCTATCTATATTGATAACAATCTTCACAGAGCATAATTTAAATTATATCAGACACTTATTCACCACCATAGAGAATAGCCTAATGTACACAATACTTATAACATATATTTGTTTTAGCCCTTTATAAAATAGAATAATATGAAATGCAAAGACAGCGTATGTTAGTCTTATAATGAATAATGTAGATAACTAGTGTGTAATTAATTGAATGAGAGTACCGATATTGTTTGCGGACCCGCAATTCATAGGCATAACAGAGACACAGACGTCAGTTAAGTATAAACTCGTACCTCACAGGATCAACTCTTGAATATAGAAATCTAACCAAAGATCACACCAATGAAAGGAAGTTAATATATGACTTTATACAGGAGCGTGAGCAGTGTATTGTAGTAACCTCTTTTATATTTAAACAGGATTGAAAGATAATTTAAATCTTTTTTTTTAAAAGAGCAGCATATAAGAATGATTTTCTATAGATCTAGTAAACCAATGATGTAATGATTATCAGACCTGGAAATAAAAGGGTAATGACCGAGTAAGAATGTGGGTGGGTAAAGTTTATACTTGCCATTCTTTGAGAGTAGATAGCATGTATTATATATATCTAGTAAGCGCGAGATCTGCTAAGCAATATAAGATGTCTTCAATTTATCACTAAATTGTTATGTTGTAGATATTGCATCTTTGTCTGTATGACTTTAAACTGATATATGACCAGTATAGCCGAATGAATAACATAGTAGTTAATAAGAGAATCCGAGATGAAAAGAAGAAACTATACCATATACAACAAATAATCTAGTTCCAGCAGTAGATTGTCTTCATTATTAATTTTGCGACGCGAGAGATTTATGAGCATAGAGAATTAATATGACTGCGAACATCTTAGTAGGTAAGTTATAAGTAGTTAATTGGTTGTATATTATATAGGAGTTAATGGCATGTGTCGGAACATTCTATATTTGAGAGCAGTATTTTGTATTTTAATTGGTATCTATAACATTGTACTTATAATATTCTTACACACTTGTATAAAAGAGAGAGATATACCAATCATTCTCAATGAGACTAGGAATATCGTAATAGTACAAAAAATATATCATTTCACGAGTATATAGGGTTCGCAAGACAATGCGATTACTGTACCTAGATGTGTCCAGACTTATTAATTGGAGGTCAAATATGTGCATATTACTATTATAATAATATGTTTATGTGTCTTCTAGAGTTTGAGCGTGTGAGCTTAGGAAGAAAATTACTTTGTAGAATAATAAGAAGTAATATTGGATACATAAATTAAACACATTATATTTAATATGCAGCTGTACCATTGACATAGACTGTGTACATATTATTATCGTTAGTTGGTTTGTATGGGGGAGGAGCGTTGAGGACCAGTGGATTGATAGATGAACATATATTGTACAAGTTGTATTGGAGGAGTAAGCTCAGAATTTTTATATAGTAAAAACATGTGTTAAGGATTATTTCTTCTAGGTTATAGAGTTAATGAAATCTTAATTAGAGAAATAATATTACGTGTGCTTAATATATAGGCTCATACGCGCTTATGCAAAGTACAGAAGAAAAAAATGGCATACATCATCGCCATTCGAGATCAAAAAGTATTCTTGAATTGCGATTGCAGGCGTTCTGTGCGATACAGAAGAAGTAAAATTATAATATGAGCATAGATAACACTACTTCTACTCATACATTCCCAAACTTGAAATAAGTTTTATGTCAGAACATAAATCTTTGAAGTTTTTATTATGTTGTCTTATTTAAAATCTTTATTATATGTATTATGACCCAAGTTTTCATTTAAAGTGAAAATAACCAAGAGTTTATTTATAAAGGTATGGTTGTTTTTTAATGCTTTCAAATTATCCATGTTATTTATATATGTGACCTTGACATGGTGTATACAGACTATATGTATCTAGGACAACTTTTGAGTATGGCTGTATCAGAAATTAGAATCAAAGTTTTATGGCCTTTTAATTATTGCCTGACAGGTAATGTAACAGTTATTACATCTGAAGAATTATGGAGATGCTCATCTAGTATCTGCTGAGATACTTTAATAATTATATTTTTTCATTTCTTTGAATCATAAATGTCTTATACTAGATAACATTTTGCTGAATAAGCAGTTTCCCATATTGAATACTCAATGTCAAAGAGTGATAGCCCTTGAAAAATATGCACAATTATAATCTTGGTCATTTTGAATGGTCATGCAATGTGTCCTTTTCTGACAGCTTATGCTCTTGTTGAACAATAACTACATACAATAATATAACAAGTTAGCTCATATTTATAGTTTCATATTTTTTGTAGAAAATTTATAATAAAGTAGGTAAAAATGTTTATTAAACTTGTAAATATGAAATGATTTATTGTTTTCAGGGCTAAGTCATCAAAAGTGCGGTAGGAATACATGCACCATATTATAATGAAACACATTATAAATACTGTTGTGTTCAAAAAATGTAGAAAATATAACATTTCTTAGTTTACGAAAACTCATAAGAAATTCAAAATTAAAAAATGATTTGTACTAAATATTGCGATACCAGTACGAAAGTGTAATTTGTTTACTATAATTGAGTCATAATTGCTTAAATACAAGTTCAGAAATGTTTGAAATTGAAATGATAAGTATAGATGGCTACACTAAATAAGAATGTTAATTTTCTACATGTTCACATTGCATGTCACATGATGTATATTTCTACAGAGCATGCAATAGTCTAAATGTTGAAGTTTAGAGTCTGATGATAAAAGCATATATTTAAATTTGAGACAGCACTTGTCTGGTATGTTGTCTGCTTGTTATATACACATAATGTATACTTACATAGATAAATTGATTGCCTGACTGACATTAAGGTATTGTACACTAGTTAATTAATTTGTTATTGTAGAGATAATTAAATTTGTTGACATGAATATTGTCATGATACTACATATATATTGTTTGTATTATTATTGTTACATGATATAATGTAGAGGAGGTGGCCATTTATCTTTTGTCTGATATTCTGAAAATTTTATTGGAATAACTAAAGTATTAGTTTCTGATCTAAAACTGAATTATGCCATTAAGCGGAAAATATGAGTTTGAGAAAAACAACATAGAAATTTTTTATTTTTATGATGCAATAGCTATTGACAATCATGTGTCCATTTCAAAATGTTGTTCTATGGTGTACTGAGTTAAAGTCAGCAAACCTTACAGGAATGTTGGACACCTAGGGGTTTGCTTGTGCATTTATTAAGTATTTGTAGAGTTATGGCCCTTGACTTATATTAAAAATTTTGCAATTTTCAATTTTTGTGGTCTAAGCTCAAGAAGTATTTGACCTAGAGTCATGAAACTTTACAGTAATGTTGGTCAGCATGTGTAGTTGTGCATCTGATGTTTAACTTGTTTTTTTGTTTTCTTTAAAGCATACTTTAGGATATAAAATTGAGATTTGGAATTCTTGCAGATCAATGTTGGGAAAAATCAAGATGTCACAACATTGGAAAAATTGGATGTCATTTTTATGTCCGGATCACTTAGAGGGAGGGGAAGTCATTTAGAATTTCCTTTTGTCTGTCCGTCTGTCATATTTTAAGCCAGTAGACTGACAAAACAGTAGAAGTGAAGGCATCTGTGTGCTATGGAAACATCAATTTTCTAGTTATTGCTCTCTCTTTCCCCAATTACAACAGTCTTGGTAATCCTTAAATGTTAGAAAAAAGGCATGTAATCAAGAAGGTCTAAAGGCTGTTATTTAAGTTGCAAGAACTACAAGTCATGCACTTTTAGTGTATATTTGTTTGCAGAAGTAATTTGACTTAATTGCTTAACATGATTAAGTGTTCTTTAGGGAAATCAAGAGTTTTCTGTTTGGTCAACTCATTACAAATGAAATGAAAGAAAGTTTGTATATTTTTGAGTGTGTAGTGAAGAATTATTATTGGAGGAAAACAAATAAATATTTTAAGAGTTGGGATGGGTTGACAGATGGGTATGTACAAGAGATAGAATGTTATATAAACCTAGATGTTGTAATATGTTGTAAGAATATTGTTGAAGCCATATTTGATATTGGCGATAGTGTGAATGTTGTTTAAAATAATATGTTCATCTTGAACAGCAGTATAAAAACACAGAATCAATAATGTATGACAATGTTACCAAGTTTTTAATCAGATATTAACAAAGTGCATTCACAGACAACTGTTTAAAGGTAAACTCAATTTACATCAGCATGTGACTGCTATACTTACTGAGGTACAACTAATCAAGATTGACATTTAAATTATATATGTGCCATCATATTTGACTTATCAAATATTGAATTGTTACTTCTGAGATAATTGTTAGTAAAGATACAAATAACATAATTAATGCTATCAAAGTAAAATTTACAAGGGATGTCTGGAAAGTTTTGAGACTTACTCTATAAATAAAGAAATCTCAATATTTTGCTTTTATATGACATATTATGACATATATATATATATAATCTTCCATGAATTTAGTTTCAACAATGCGAAACAAGAATTTCATTACATACACATCAATATATTACATAGCACTTTGACTAATAGATATTACATCACTGTCCCTTCATTTCAAAAAATTTCAGTGAAGTCTCTTTAAGCTAAACAATCTTATTACAAACATGGATATAATTTCCCTATAAAATAAATATAAAAAAAACCCAAAGTGCTCTGATCAATGTGTAATCAGTTGTTATGGAAACAGACTAATATATAATACAATAAACCCTGATGAAAAGAAATTACTATAAAAATGATCCTATAAGTCTCACAACTTTCCACATATCCCTGTTAATATGAATATATTTTATTATAAATCTATGATATAAATGTTTATTTTCTATGAATATAAATTCTGTTTTTTGTTGTTGTTTTTTTGTTACTATGTAATTGCTTTGATTTGCTCTTAAAAATAAAAACAATGGGGCAATATAGATTATATATTTGCAAACAGAATATGAATGATTATGCTCTTTACATTGCATAGTGTTGTTTTATGCATTTCTCTCTCTTTGTCACCATAATTATAATTCTTAGACTGTAGAGCGGTTAATAGCAGACAAAATTCCTGCCAGTGTTTTATATGATGATATGATTGGATAGAATCAAATATCAAATTGTTATAGGCTACAAAAAAGTGTGTCTGCCAATTTTTCCCAGAAAATGTTCAGTGACATTTTGTATAAAAATTGTAATTTACAATGATCAAGATATTGTATTTGTTTTTATCCACCTAGTTTCTTAAATGGAGTTGTCAGCATCAATAAGGGATATAAAGGTGAAATTTGAAGCTGGTGACCCAGCAATATAGAGCCTGGTCAGACTGCACAAAGATTAAAGTCTGACCTGACTCTGTACTGATAGCAAAGGCTATTCTCTGAGAATTTTAATATTCTATATGTTTTTGATTGAGGGAGCAAATTTAAGCATACCATGTTATAATGAGATGTGATGACAAATACAATTATTTAAACAAATCTTTGGTTTTTATTTTATATATATTTTAAATATCTAGCATCGCAGTATCAAGAAATCAGTTGGAGAAAATAATAAGTATAATTAACTGTCTCAAATTTTAATCATTCACAAATCTTTGCTGGTAATAATGAATAGCAAAGTAATGTTTAAATACTATATACTAATATTTCTACTAATCAGTATAATAGCTTACTTTGTTTTTATTTCAGTGAACCAAGTCTTTCAGAGAAGCAAGCCTATGCTGATTCACTGGTCAAACTTCAAGCTGCAGAGAAATATTTAGGACGTGCCTACTGTGTTCTTGTGTTAGGACTTGGTTTAGAGGAGCAACATCATATGTCATGTGGAATGTATGTTTGTCTTTCTCTTTGACTTACTTAATCATAGTGGTGTGATTGAACATAAATTTTTAAACTACTGAAAACTTACAATCTAACGAAATGTAAACAAAACAATTACTGTCAAAATGTTTTTATAACTGTATCTTATTGTACTCTGTAAAGAAACTGTAAAACAACATGGAAATGATTGATAATGAAGTGTAATGCATTCACTGTAAAGTTTCATGTCTGCCCTCTTTATAACTTAAAAAGGATCGTTTTTAGTTCTCAACTTCTGCAGCTGCCATAACAGGCCTTTGGTCACAAAATGATCCCATTAAAAATCATTCCATAAAAAGGCAAAGGTGTTTGTAGATAAAAAAAATTGTTTGTTTCTTTCAATTCTGTCTTTTATATTATACTTACAATGTTAGATGTATGATTATCTATTTATAGATCAAGAGTTTCATCAACAGACAAGGACAGGGCTATGTTTGAGGTCAGTAATTAGTCTATTTACAGTTACTGTAGTTTAATATCTTGTTTACTTTTAAGTTTATAGAATTGCTGTAAAAATAACATTTTTTGTTAGTAAGTAAAATACGATGTAAAATATATCATCATTCTGTAAAATGACCATGGTAATTAATATATTCCAAATTTATTTTCATCAAACTGTTGTATGTATTATGTAACAGACATTAAACTGTAATTGTACCAGTTTATCATTTTGACTACCTAATATTCTACTTCTTTTGTTTGCTAATTAATTTATCTTACATAAGATCTGAAGCTTTTACTCTGATTGTTTAAATTGAAATTTATTAACAATATTAAGTAAATATAGCCAGTTTCATGTGATAACAGAAAATTAAGAAAAATTGTACATCCAAGAACAGGAACCTTCCAATATACTCATAGGCTCAAAGTAAACTCATTAGGCCAACTCTTTATTACTTTTTGACAAAGTAATATACTTTTTGACAAAGTAATATAGTTATGCTCCTGTTTAACTTGATTAACGTTAACTTTAATAGCTTTGAAACCAAAACATGTTTAAAAATGGCTTGCAGAATGATCTGGCTCTAAATTGGTACTATAGAATAGTCATAATTGTTGCTATCATTGTAATATTAATATATGTACTCCTTCATTTCAGACTCTGTATTCTTTTTGTACATTTGTGGTATGGATCACATTTAGACGAAAGGATTTTGAAGCTGTTAAAAAAGAAGTGGGAAGGTAAGCATATAATGAAATGGCAAAAAGCAATTTGTTTGATAGGTTTTACAGTTAGAAAAAAAATTTCATTTTGTAATGACAGCTATACTGAATATTCTTAAATGTGTATGCTGACAACAAAAATAAATGATAACTGCTGTACATGCTTTGTACTAAGATAGAATTGCACTGTACTTGGCACTACATATAACTTAAGTAGTGCAGTGTGTGAAATAAAAAACTTTATCGAAAAATGTCAAATGGAAAGATTGGCAGATTAAAGGTTGAAAATACCTGCACATAAAATCATGAATGACAGCATTCTCTATGGAGTGTAACAAGTTTGTTCAATTAAGAATTCATTAAGGGAAATTTTACACTCAGAAGTAGATGAGAAGTTAAAGCATTTTACATTCATAGCGAAGAAGGTTAATAGTTTGTAAATTAGCTTTAACATTAAAACATGATTTTGTGGTGTGCAGAACACACATTATGGTAATATCCACATATCTCTACTACATTAAACAAATGCATTGTGATGTAGGGAAGATTTCTGCCTGTTAAACTAATGAATGTTGTTTTCTTTATTTTAGAATGTTACGATCAGATACATTTAATCCAGCAATAAGGGTTAAGAATGCGCCAGAAGGTAATGTACCAGTAAATCTACTTCATTGACATCATTTCCTAATTAACTATGCACTGAATGTAAATGATGCATACTGAAAGGCTTACATTTAATAGATAGATTAACACTTGATTACATAAGCATCAATTGTTTTAAATCCTTTTATTATTGCAATTTTTTGTATGATGAAAATACTGATGAAGGAATTAACACAGATTGTCTGTTAATTAACATATTGATATCAAGAGCATCTACGTAATATGTAACAATATGTGGAACTTATAAATGTGTGTTCAGTGTTCATATTTACTGGAACTATGATATCTGGTAAATCAATTAATAAGAGATATAAGTAGATCATTTTATTTTATATAAAAGAAATTCCTTAACTATAATTCAACTTACGTACAAGGCTTTCTGAATACATTTAAACTATTCAACACCTGTTATAATCAAATGAAGATATGTTTATATTTGAGAAGCATTATGTAATATATATGCAGTGATGACTTCCCTGTCTCACGTTTTGTAATAACTTTCAGAGAAAGAAACAGAGAAAAAAGAAGAGAAGTCTGGTGAGGGAAAAAAGGAAATTAAAATCGAGAAGAAGATAACACCTGCTGAGTACAGACGACTACAACCCGTGGGTTTAATTTGTAAAAACACTAATTATAAGATTAGAATAACAAAACATGCCATAAACATTTGAGATTTACAATTAGATCATGATCAATGTACCAACTAATTTCTTTCAAATCATGATTTTTACAAAATCGTGCTTTTGTGAATCTGTTTTATTTTTTACGTTTCAGGAAAAGACCAGCTATCAAGTCTATTATACAGTAAGTGAAGTATTATTAATGTGAAAGTTAGATATGGTAATTGGATGACTGTGAGATATAATCAACAAACTTGCACATATTCTTAAATGCTGCAAGTCAGAAAAAAATTCTATCTTTCTTATTTTTTTTCCCATTGAATAAATTATGAAACAATACATCCCACACTAGAGTAATCTACCAAACATTCATTAGGATGATTTTGTTCACAATTACACATTTTTTCTAGAATAACAAGAACTCCAAAGGAGTAACAATTGTGATTGTTTAAGGTTCATTATTTGATAGATTTTTATTAGTGACTTGAAGTATGTCATTTTATATGTTTAGATCCATAGCATCAACACCATTGTTTATTTTATGTTCTCATAACATATTTAATACCATCTTTATGATATGTAGAGATTTATTTTGCATATATTTGTTTTTTCAGTCAGAGATCACCTGCTATTGTAGCAATACTGCCCTCCCCTAAAGAAGAAGCTCACTGGTTGTTCAAGACACGCAAGTAAGAAATTCCTTCTGATCTCTGACATTCAGCCTATTTTAGCTCGACTATAAGAAGTATATGGAGAGCTGTCCTACTCGCCCCGGGGTCCACGTCCAGATTTCAGATTAAAGTTTTGGTGCAGTAAAATATTTTTCACTATAAGTTTTTAAGTTATCAACATTAAACTTGAAATATATGTTCCTCATCATCAACCACATCTTATGTGATAAGGTTCATAACTTTAGCTAGCACCAATATTTTCAGATTATCTCCCCTTGAACTTAGAATTTTCCTTAAAAAATACTATTTTTTACTGTTACTTCTTTATTTCTTAAGGGAAAAACTTCATACTTTAAATATATGTTCCTTATCATCAACCACATCTTATGTGACAAAGTTCATAACTCTAGCACCAATATTTTTAGATTTATCTCCCAATGAACTTAGAATTTTCCTTAAAAAATATTATTTTTTACTGTTACTTATTTATTTTTTAAGGGATCAACTCCATACTTCAAATATATGTACCTTATCATTAACCACATGTTATGTGACAAGGTTCATAACTCTAGCACCAATATTGCAAGAACTATCTCCCCCATAAACTTAGATTTTTTTACTAGAAAAAAAATATTTTTTACTATAACTTTTTAGTTTAAAGGTATTTACCTCAAACTTCAAATACTTACTAGTATTCCTTATCATCAATTACATTTTATGTGACAAGGTTCATAACTCTTGAAGCAATTTTATTTTTTGAAACAGATTATCTTTAACAAATATTATAACTCTTTGAACTTAGGATATTCTTTAAGAAATATTATAACTTCTTCTAGCATGACTTTTCCAGAATTATTCCCCTTGATCTTGGAATTCATGTTAACAATGTTATTTTTTTCCCTATAACTTAATACATAATTATACATAATTGATTTCTTTTCATAGTTTTGTCCTCCTTACTGCGTCCAGTATTTTATTAGTCGAGCTCCCGCTGTCTCCTGTGACAGCTCTTGTTGTATCATAACTAATGTTTTTAGTGTAAGATTTGTTTTCACTTTAAAAAATTGCAAGTTGGAAATTTACAGATGTTTCCAGTAACCACATTTACCCTGAAGTTGACATCATTGACAAATGGAGTTGCATGATGTATATAGGGATCACTTCTCCGTCGTCTGTCCGTCCGTCTGTCTGTCCCTCCGTCCGTCACAAAAACTTGTCCGACTACTCCTCATAAACTACTGGTGCAATTTCATCCAAACTTTACAGGAATGATCAGTACCAAGTCTAGTTGTGCATATTGTCAGCATTTTCCGGTTCAATGATTTTTGTCAGAGTTATGGCCCTTTAATAATTTTTAATTTTAAAGTTTGTCCGGACTACTTCTCTTATACCACTAATGCAATTTCAATTGAAACTTTACAGGATTGATCTGTAGCTCAAGTTCTTGCGCATATTGCACAGGTTTTCTGGTTGAATAATTTTTGGCCTAGTTATGGCCCTTTGATAAAAAGGGTTTTTTTTTCTGTGTGTTTTCAGATACGCAAAAGCTTGTCCGGACTACTCCTCATAAACTACTGGTGCAATTTTATCCAAACTTTACAGGAATGATCAGCACTAAGTCTAGTTGTGCACTGTCCGTCTGTCTGTCACAAAATTTGTCCCAACATGAAATTGGCCATCATGAGGCGACACATGTGATTACTGATCGCTCTTGTTCAGTCAAGTGAACAGTTGAATTTTTATGTTTTATAGTTGGGATTCTACTACATTAACCTCTTTGTTGTCGCTTTTTATAGTAAAGTTTATGAACAATAAGCTATATTATAAATATTTTCAGCTTACTTGGTAAAATGGATATGAGAAAGACAAAGAAGACAGTGAAGATGATGATGATCAAACAAAACAATCTTTTGTCATTGACAAAAGAAATTTTAAGTATGTCACTTGATTTATCTACAATTATACACTACTCTTACTTTTCAGTGTAGTTTCGTTTAAGTGATGATAAAACATCAAAAAGAAATCATTTTTTTTGCCAATTATATAAACTTAAATTAAATTGAGGCTCTGATATTAAATAATGATAATAATAAGATATTATTTATTCACACATTTAAATGTTAGATATGTAAGATTTGTAAGTATAAATTTATAAAGCTTAAACTGTAAGGAATAAATTAAGTCATAGAGACTGCATGTTAAAGTTTGATGAGTTGTTATATTTAGATATTTAATGAATGGAGACTTTATGTTGATTAGAATTGGTATATTGGGCGACTCCCTTAGTCAGTATAACCCAGTGACATTGTCACCAATGGGAGCAGAAAATGAGGATGAGGACAATGAGGGTGAAGATGGGGAACAGAAACAGGCTGATGATAATACTGCCGATAAACCTCAAACTGGTAATTTATCCTTGGTGTCCTTATTGAAAATATTATAAATTATGATATTTTACTGTGTAATCATTATGATGTCAAGAATGAGCAATCTGTTATTGTCAATGCTCTAATCGGAAGTAAATACTGTTGTTGTTAATTTGTATGAAGATGAGAAGTGTACCAAGAACCTAAGATATGTTGGTTAATTGTTTACATTTTAAACACAAAGTCCTCAGAGGTGAGCTTTTGTTATAAACCATTGTAATCCATAATTTAATTTAACTCATCCTTAAGCAATATGTTGACATTTACCAAACTTCACGGGACTAGATAATAATCCCTTAGTTGGAACGCTACAAAAGTTGCATAAATGGTTATAGTTTGATGCCTAAAAAGCTCATATGGTAAAAAATGGAACAGAATATGCTTACTTTCAAAATCTTTTCTCAAAAATCCTTAGCTTAGATATATGACATAACATTATCTAATGGTGTTCTTGATCATGCCCCTAAGAGTCAAAATTGTTCCTGTCCTAGAGGTTACTTTAATTAACAAAGATAAATATAGGAAAATGCATTTAAATTCGCTTGTGGGAAACTGCATAGTCTACTGCAAGATATTTGGCAACATTGCTTAGTTGGCAGCTATAAAAGATTTATAAATCATGGGCCTTAAATCAAACCTTGCCTATTTATGACCTTTTCCTAGCAGTAGATCTCATGTGTGCGATCTCGGCCAATATTGTCACTCTCTAGTGTATAGTAGTGAAAGAACATCATACAAATAAGGACTAATGTTAGAAATTTGGAAATAATATGACAACACAAAACAATAATTCACAGTCCAAAATATTTTTACATATTTGAAACTATGGAATATTTAGAAAAAACCAATCTAGAGATATACTAAATAATGAAAAATGTCATGATAGAGCTACATTACACTTCCCTTTAGTACTAAGCAAATGCATATGTTGGTTGTGAAGAAAAACCTTTCAAGCATAAAAAAAACGAAAAAAAAAACATTGATTATTCAATTATTTTAATCTTTTCAATGTACATTTTTGTACTAATGCAAAATAGTATAAATGTTTATTATGTTATTTCTTGATATCATTTACAGACAGAGGTATGAGTCGTACACAGACAGCAGTGTCTGAGGCAGTCACAGATGCTTTTACTGAGGACTGAGATTTGTTTATATTTGTCTCAAAATGGAGAAAAAGAACTGTAAAATATTAAAAAACATTCCAAGCTATAAGTGATATATTATAAAAAGGTTTTAAGTATCCGTCCTATATTGTATTGTTGTCTGTGATAAAATTATTTCACTTGTTGCATTTAAGCTATTTCTTGATTTCCTTTTGTACATTATAATTTACATTGAACTCTGTTAGGTTGTAGATATTACCTCAAAAAATAACAAATCTACCTTTGTAGACAATAAAGTTGTTACGTTTTTTGCCTTTATTGATAAGACTTTGTATGTCACTATTCAAAATGCACTGTAGTACATATATTTTGAATTACTTAACCAAATTTCAATAAAACTTGATTTAATAGATAGTTCACAGTTGATGCATATTGAATATAGTGATATTTTTTTCTTTGTATGAAATATTTTATACAGATCTTTCCTGGTGAAATGTAAAAGCCAACAAGCCAAATATCTGTTCCACAAATAAAGAACAAGATAATCGTTTTGCATAACATGGTGTTGCCAAGGAAATTATCTTATTGGCGAGCACTTGTTACCTGATGATGATTGTTATCTATATGTTAGGACATGATTTGTTGCCAATCAAATAATTATGAACATTAACTAACGAGTTTTCAGCAGGAAATTTATCTGCAACAACTTAGATACTGGATAAAAGTTTTGGTATACATTATATATTTTAGAACTATGCTGTTGTTGTAAAATGTCAGTGGCCAAATTTCACAATTTATATTATTATAATTATTGAGTTTTGTTCCAATAAAACTAAAAATAATATGTTGTTTTCTTTTTAATCTACTTTCATTAATTAATTTATTTATTTAATTCCATCAATTCCATCAAAACATGCAAATTAAAACTACTATACACAACGTAAAAAATACATTGCCACTCATGATGGATTTTAAGAGACTTATATTAACATTTTACCTTACATTAAACATTTTACTGAAAAACTATTTACATATTGCCAAAGTTAAGAAGCAGACCCCATTCATAACATTAATATGATATTATAATTATGAAAATGGCACTACTAAATGCTAGGAAAAAAACGCTAAAATGGAAATCAACCCGATTCGAAGAATCTATTTTCTTAGGGGTTATTACAGAATACAATTAACAATTAGAAAAGAATTACTTTATTTCGAAAGATAAAAATATCGTCTGAAATTAAAATCAACTAAATAATATCTTGCATGTTATTGAAGGACAGGGCCGTACTATAAATGATTTGTTTCTAATATCATCAAAGTGCTGTTGAAACTAGCACGAGTTTCAGTTTCAATTATATGAGATGTTATTTAATGTCCATATGCAGTGATTGTGACATAAAAATAAGCTTTACTTCCTTAAAGCTACATGCCTCCAGATGAGTCGAAATATTTCAATAAAATCAAACTTGAGAAAATGCACTAAGGTGTAAGGAAAAGTAAAAGTTTCAATATAAAAGTAATATTTTACATATTATATGCGATAAATTACTGATTTTTCAATACTTACAACTATATTTTTACTGCGTTAATAACGAAGTACAGGCTTTTTATGCATATTTTGACCACTTTTTGGTAATTTACGTGGTTTGTAAGTGCCATTGATAATGTGTAAATTGCTTCCTTTTGGTTACTTCACAATATTACACATTCCAATGCATTTTCAAAATTTTCATGAAAATTAGGACGAATCTGGAGTCGTGCTGCTTTAACTTGATATAACACCCGTAAAGATGTGAATGCTTAATGTCATACACCAGTAAAGGAAATTCCTCACAAATAGGAAAGATGAAAATAGCAAATCGGTTTATATGACAGCCTATCAGATCGACTGAGTCATTTATGACTTTATTTTTGTTCACTAGTCATTATTACAATTTAAAATACACGAGATCTTTGTTTCAACAAGTTTTGATCTTTATGACTTCCCACAACAATCCTAATCTATAATGTATACTTTTTAATATGTATTCTGTTTGATTATAATTTCTAAAGCTCTGGCGCGATTTTTCCCCTTTTTCCAAAATATTCAATGAAAATAAACAGTAAAAGCGATGAATGTAAACTGATAAAAAATGAAGCAATCAAGCTGAATAAGGAGTTAAAACGTTTTTGGGAGGAGTGCATTTTTTTCCCACAAAGGCCTGGAAGGAGAATTTAAACTGGCGCAGATAATTTTTTTCTTTCCTTTCTTTTGTTCTTCTTTCTGTCTTATTTTATTTCTTTATTATTTTTGAACGAATAAAGACACACATGATTGATTGAGCGTTACTTCATCAATTCGTTTCAATCAGGTCTATAATCATGCATAGTTTAAGAACGTTCTCAGCGCTAGGTTGAATTTAAATTTTCATTGTTTGCCTTTGTATAAATATCGACTACTCTCAGAAAAACGTCTTTAAAAAACAAATATGCATCATTGATAACACTTTGCAATCGTAAAGCATTAAACTATTTCATGAACATCAACCGTATGAGTCCTGCATGCGGCCACTATTGCATGAATTTCAGCTAAGTCTGTGAGTGATCTAAACAGTAGGTCAAACTTATAATGAATATCGCCAACATGAAAATTATCCCGTCGCTTAGAGACATTTTATATTTTTCCATTTTTCGAGAATAATTTCTAAGGTTTAATATAACGATAAGGATGGATTCGTCTTCCAAGGACTTTTTTTTAAAAAAAATTCTTTAACGATGTCTACAGTTTATCATACTTTAAGGCTTTTATAGATGCGATTTCATGTTATGTCACACCCAAAAAAAATAATTTTTGGAATGACTTAAGGCGGTAAGTACTGAAAACGTGAATTTATTTTTTAACAGATCTACGAAAATGTGCAGGAGTAATAATTCAATGGTCAAAACGGGCACACACATGTCTTTGTTTAAGGTATCATTAGACGACTTTTCCATCAGTAATTTAAATTGAAACAGCAGGGTGTTACAGATAAAATATATTACCCCTGTATTACATAATATTACACAATTTGTATTGTACACTTCCTTTGAATAACTGGATTGGTCAGGCGGTAAGTGTCAAACAGATTGGCACGCGAACATTTGTTCATTCAACCGGGACGTTTAAATATAATGATATAGTTTATTAAAATGGTAATTCATGTAACTTTTAAATATACCGATCAATGTGTATGGATTTTGAGAAGAGAAAAAATGTGTGAGGTGCATTATTAAAAATGACATGTTTTACGAAGAAGTGGATATAATATGTGTTATATCTTTTCCAAACAACCCATCCTAATTTTTTCAAGACTTTGAAAAAAAAATATTTAAAATCTATTGATGTGACTTAAATTTTTCTGTTTGCATCACAGGCAAATCGGATAAAGGATATAATCAGGTATATTGAACATTAAAACTGCATTATCACCTGTTCTGATATTTTTTCTGAATGATATTTAATCTCGATTTCATGTTATATAATTTCTTTTGTTTTTAAATAAACTATTTCAACAGCAAATAAGTTGACTTTCATTTGCTAATAGATATATTTCCACTTATTATTTTTAAAAAAAAATGATCTCAGTGTCAGGTCCGTGATCGTAAATTCTTAAACAAGTATCTTTTCCATGCCTTTTTATGGCATTCTTCGCCACAAAGCTATAAAGTCATCTTTTCTATATTTGTTGAAAGCTATTTTATATAATTTTCTACTGTTTACCTTGAACTAACTCGGAAATGTCTATGAACTTCTATTATATTTCTATGTAGGGCGAAGCATTTTTGCCCTACGCAGATTGCGCATGCGCGAGAAAATTCTAATTCCGGTCGATTTTTTCATAGCAACAGACCGCGTCGTAAAAAGGTCTATAAAAGGACATTTTGCAAGAAATAGCTTAGTAGTAATGAAGGGAACCTAATAAAAATTACCTTTCACATTAACCAGATAAGATTCTTTATTAATTTTGCGACGGTTATGCTTATTATAATATGATCAAACTTTGGCTATAAAGAGTTTGTTGTATTAAGGTATGGCGTTGTAATGACTATTGCTTTGAAAATATTTTATATGTTATGTACTACATTGTATTATAATATTCTTCACAAGCTGAAAAGTGGACAATATCATTTCATCAAGATTGTATAGTAACAAAAGTTTCAGTATAGTACTTTGTCTGTCTAATGTCAGCTTATATTGATGAATGTTACTATATATAGGCTATAGAGTTACTGATGATATTACTTGTAGAATATAGTAAAGGATGATTAAGATTTTTTAATGCAGTATCAATTGATTCGCTTTTTATTGTTGTTGTTTTTTTTTGTTTTTTGGTGGGAGGGGTGTATCATTTTGTATAGTCTATTGTGAAAGCTCAATTTGAAAGTAAAATTAAGGTAAATCCAGGTAATACATAATGAGTGTATAATCTTGCAGCTGCTACAACCTATGACAATGAACAAATTCTTGTTTGATCTGGTTTCACCAGAGAGTAATAAAATGGTTCAAAACATTTAGATTTTTAAAGGTATGTATAGGTGTGGTAGCTAATCGTAGAACATGAATGATTTCCCCTACAGGGATTTAAAGTGTAATTCAACATAATTACTAGCAACAGGTATGTTATTGTAGGTGGTGAGCCTTGGGTTCCAGATTCATGGTTTGTGATTTACATAGATAAGTATAAGATAAAGATTATCACTAAGTTTTTCTGCTGCTGAATTATCTCCTCCAGTAAAGTGCAAAACAGACAGCTGGCAGATAACACTACTTCTACTCATACATTCCCAAACTTGAAATAAGTTTTATGTCAGAACATAAATCTTTGAAGTTTTTATTATGTTGTCTTATTTAAAATCTTTATTATATGTATTATGACCTAAGTTTTCATTTAAGTGAAAATAACCTAGAGTTTATTTATAAAGGTATGATTGTAAATTTCCCAGTATGTTATTTATATATGTGACCTTGACCTGATTTATACAGTCTGTATTTAACTAGGACAAATTTTGAGTATCAGAAATTAGAATCAAAGTTTTATGGCCTTTTAATTATTGCCTGATAGGTAATGTAACAGTTATTACATCTGAAGAATTATGGTGATGCTTATCTTATATCTGCTGAGATACTTTAATAATTATATTTTTTCTTTTCTCTGAGTCATTAATGTCTTATTCTAGATAACATGTTGCTGAATAAGCAGTTTTCCATATTGAATACTCAATATGGAAGAGTGGTGGCCCTTGAAAAATATACAAAATTATAATCTTTGTCATTTTGAATAATCATGCAATGTGTCCATTTCTTTATACCAGTTAGCTCATATTTATAATTTCATATTTTTTGTAGAAAATTTATAATAAAATAAGTAAAAATGTTTTTCAAACTTGTAAATGTGAAATGATTTATTGTTTTCAGGGCTAAGTCATCGAAAGTGCGGTAGGAATACATGCACCATAATATATTGTTGTATTTAAAAAATGTAGAAAATATAACAATTCTTAGTTTTCAAAAACTTATAAGAAATTCAAAGTTAAAAAAAATGATTTGTACTTAATATTGCTATACCAGTACAAAAGTGTAATTTTTTCTATAATTAAGCCATTGTTTAAATTCAATTTCAGAAATGTTTGAAATTGAAATGATAAGTATAGATGGCTACACTAAATAAGAATGTTAATTTTCTACATGTTCACATCGCATGTCACATGATGTATATTTCTACAGAGCATGCAATAGTCTAAATGTTGAAGTTTAGTGTCTGATGATAAAAGTATTATTGAGCCGCGTCATGACAAAACCAAAATAATGCATTTGCGACCAGCATGTATCCAGACCAGCCTGCGCAGACCTGTGCAAACTGGTCTGGATCCATGCTGGTCGCAAACCCATTATGTTGGTTTTGTCATTGCGCGACTCAGTTATATCTAAATTTGAGACAGCACTTGTCTGATATGTTGTCTACTTGTTATTTATACATGAAGTATACTTACATAGATAAATTGATTGCCTGACTGACATGAAGGTATTGTACACTTGTTAATTAATTTCTTATTATAGAGATAATTAAATTTGTTGACATGAATGTTGTCATGATACTATATTATAGATTGTTTGTATTATTATTGTTACATGATATATTGTAGAGGAGGTGGCCATTTATCTTTTGTCTGATATTCTGAAGATTTTATTGGAACAACTAAAGTATTAGTTTCAGGTCTAAAACCGAATTATGCCATTGTGCGGAAAATATGGGTTTCAGAAAAACAACATAGAAATTTTTATTTTTATGATGCAATAGCTATTGACAATCATGTGTCCACTTCAAAATGTTGTTCCAGGGTGTACTGAGTTAAAGTCAGCAAACTTTACAGGAATGTTGGACACCTAGGGTTTGCTTGTGCATTTATTCAGTATTTGTAGAGTTATGGCCCTTGACTTATATTAAAAATTTTGCAATTTTCAATTTTTGTGGTGCAAGCTCAAGAAGTATTTGACCTAGAGTCATGAAACTTTACAGTAATGTTGGTCAGCATGTGTAGTTGTGCATCTGATGTTTTACTTGTTTTTGTTTTCTTTAAAGCATACTTTAGGATATAAAATTGAGATTTGGAATTCTTGCAGATCAATGTTGGGAAAAATCAAGATGTCGCAACACATTGGAAAAATTGGATGTCATTTTTATGTCCGAACCACTTAGAGGGAGGGGAAGTTATGTTAATTTTGTCCGTCTGTCATATTGTAAGCCAGTAGACAAGTGAAGGCATCTGTTTGCTATGGACACATCAATTTTCTAGATATTGCTCTTTCTTTCCCCAATTACAACAGTCTTGTAAATTTTAAATGTTAGAAAAAAAGCATGTAATCAAGAAGGACTCTCTGTTATTTAAGTTGCAAGAACTACAAGTCATGCACCTTTAGTGTATATTTGTTTGCAGAAGTAATTTGACTTAATTGCTTAACATGATTAAGTGTTCTTTAGGGAAATCAAGAGTTTCCTGTTTGGTCAACTCATTACAAATGAAATGAAAGAAAGTTTGTATATTTTTGAGTGTATAGTGAACAATTATTATTGAAGGAAAACAAATAAATATTTTAAGAGTTGGGATGGGTTGACAGATGAGTATGTACAAGAGATAGAATGTTATATAAACCTAGATGTTGTAATATGTTGTAAGAATATTGTTGAAGCCATATTTGATATTGGCGATAGTGTGAATGTTGTTTAAAAAACAATATGTTCATCTTGAACAGCAATATAAAAAAACACAAACAATAATGTATTACAATGTTACCAAGTTTTTAATCAGATATTCAAACAAAGTGCAGTCACAGACAAAAACTTATTAAAGGTAAACTCAGTTTACATCAGCATTTGACTGATAATTACTTACTGAAGTACAACTACATGTAATCATAATTGATATTTAAATTATATATGTGACATCATATTTGACTTATCAAATATTGAATGTTGGTTATTTCTGAGATAATCTAGTTAGTAAAGATGCAAATAACATAATAAATGCTTTCAAAGTAAAATTTACAAGGGATATCTTGAAAGTTTTGAGACTAACTCTATTACTAAAGAAATCACAATATTGTGCTATAATATGCAATATTGTGACACATATATTTTCCATGAATTTAGTTTCAACATTGTGAATCAAGAATTTCATGACATGCACATCAATATATTACAGAGCACTGTGACTAATGGATGTGACATCACTGTCTCTTCATTTAAAAAAAATTTCAGTGCAAAGTAATCTATTATAAACATTTTTTTATATAATTTCCCTATGAAATAAAAAAAAAACAAAGTGCTCTGATCATCATGGGATCAGTTGTTATGGTAACAGACTAATATTATAATACAATTAACCCTGATGAAAAGGAATTATTATATAAATGATCCTATAAGTCTCACAACTTTCCACATATCCTTGTTAATATGAATATATTTTATTATGAAACTATGATATAAATGTTTACTTTCTATGAATATAAATTCTGATTTTTGTGTTGCAATGTTATTGCTTTGATTTGCTCTAAAAAATAAAAACAATCGGGCAATATAGGTTATATTTTGCAAGCAGAATATGAATGAGTATGCTCTTTACATGGAATTGTGGTGTTTTATTTGTTTCTCTCTCGTTGTCACCACAATTATAATTCATAGACTGTAGAGCTGTTTATGGCAGACAAAATTCCTGCCAGAGTTTTATATGATGATTTTATATGATGATATGATTGGATTGAATCAAATATCAAGTTATTATAGGCTGTAAAAAATATGTCTGCCAATTTTTTCCAGAAAATGTTCTGTGACATTTTGTGTAAAAATTGTAATTTACATTGATCAAGATATTGTATTTGTTTTTATCCACCTAGTTTCTAAAATAGAGTTGTCTTCAATTGTAATCAATAAGGAATGTAATGGTGCAATTTGAAGCTGGTGACCCAGCAATATAGAGCCTGGTCAGGCGGCACAAAGATGAAAGCCTGACCTGAGTTTGTACAGATATCAAAGACTGTTCTCTGTTTTTGATTGAGGAAGCAAATTTAAGCATACCATGTTATAATGAGATGTGATGACAAATACAAATATTTAAACAAATCTTTGGTTTTTATTTTATATATATTTTAAATATCTACCATCGCAGAATCAAGAAATCAGATGGAGATAATAATTGGTATAATTAACTGTCTCAAATTTTAATAATTCACAAATCTACGCTGCTAATGATAAATAGCAAAGTTTTAATTACTTGTACTAATATTTCTACTTATCAGTATAATAGCTTACTTTGTTTTTATTTCAGTGAACCAAGTCTTTCAGAGAAGCAAGCCTATGCTGATTCACTGGTCAAACTTCAAGCTGCAGAGAAATATTTAGGACGTGCCTACTGTGTTCTTGTGTTAGGACTTGGTTTAGAGGAGCAACATCATATGTCATGTGGAATGTATGTTTGTCTTTCTCTTTGACTTACTTAATCATAGTGGTGTGATTGAACATAAATTTTTAAACTACTGAAAACTTACAATCTAACGAAATGTAAACAAAACAATTACTGTCGAAATGTTTTTATAACTGTTTCTTATTGTACTCTGTAAAGAAACTGTAAAACAACATGGAAATGATGATAATGCAGTGTAATGCATTCACTGTAAAGTTTCATGTCTGCCCTCTTTATAACTTAAAAGGATCGTTTTAGTTCTCAACTTCTGCAGCTGCCATAACAGGCCTTTGGTCACAAAATGATCCCCATTAAAATCATTCCATAAAAAGGCAAAGGTGTTTGTAGATAAAAAAAAATTGTTTGTTTCTTTCAATTCTGTCTTTTATATTATACTTACAATGTTAGATGTATGATTATCTATTTATAGATCAAGAGTTTCATCAACAGACAAGGACAGGGCTATGTTTGAGGTCAGTAATTAGTCTATTTACAGTTACTGTAGTTTAATATCTTGTTTACTTTTAAGTTTATAGAATTGCTGTAAAATAACATTTTTGTTAGTAAGTAAAACACGATGTAAAATATATCATCATTCTGTAAAATGACCATGGTAAATAATATATTCCAAATTTATTTTCATCAAATTGTTGTATGTATTATGTAACAGACATTTTAGTCAGATCAAAGTAAATCTTGGGGTCAAACAAATTGCAACACAAGCTTTTTTTACATAATTCTATTGTCAAATGAATTATTTAAAACAGGTAAAAACCCGAAAAAAAATCGGAACAAAGATTTTAGTAAAAAACGCGATTTAAATGTTGCGTTTATTTCGATTTTTAATGTTGCTCTGTATGTACACCATACACGGCGTTTTATGTTGTAACCGGTGTCGAGGTAAACATAAGTTTAGAGAGCGCGCAATTTGAAATTTGTATTCAGTGAGATTAAAACCATTTTTAGGACTGGAGTAGGATTAATATAAGCTGATGTGAGTAATATGTATGTATTTTTACATTCTTTTTATTCATTTTACACCTTTTAGCCCCAAATATACCCAAATACGTGATATCACGATGTTTGCAATACATTTTCGCGTGGTTATAAATTGCCGCAGCAATCGATCAAACTATAAGTATTTATTAATTTTTAACATGATACTATGATTTGAACAAACATTTAATACCCTAATTTGGTTACAATATGTAAGTAAAGCCCAAAAATAAAAAAAATAAAAATGTCAAGGTTACCCTGGAATGCGCAAAAAATGAAAACTACGGAAGCGTGTTTGGGTCAAAAAAGCACGAAATCCTAAATATCTTCCTAGTAATAACATATTATGCATTTTATTCAAATTTTCTTTGTTTTAGGAATAAAAATGAAAATGTTAATGGTTTTATATTGAGTTGTTTTAGTGAAACTTTGAATTTATTTCAGATTTAATGTGTATAACAAAGGTTTGATTGAAAAAATACCATGTGATTTCACATTGCAAGTCTGTAGATTTAGCCTTGGATATCAAGCTTTAAAGGTAAAATTTGAGGGTTGTTTTATTATCATTTAAATAATAATTATTCGTAATTTATGACATTTTTTCAAAATGATATTTAAATTTTGCATATTAAACTTATAAAAACATTGTCGGCATAGGAATTATAATGAATCTTTTTTTCTTGTTGCAGCGTTTCTTGGATAGAAGATACTCGTGGGATAATGGAGGGTTCAAAAAGAGAAATGAGGTACTATTATTGAAATTTTAAAAAGTAATTTATTAAAAGATAGATAATTCAGATATCGTTAATAAGTTGATTAATAATTGTACGGAGGGCAAACTTAAAAGATAAGGAAGATCTCAAAGAGAGAGATATTTTTTTCACAATCACTGTAACTTTTCGAGTAATTTTTATGATTTAAAGATATAAAGAGTTCAGTGAATGTGCTATGTTGATATTTTTAACATGTTACATAACAATTTCAGTGAGGAAAGCATATGTGTACTATGTAAGACGAATGACGGTCGCCGATTAGCCAAACTTACACAAAAAGGATGTGACACTTTAATTGCCCAAAGTAAAACAAAAGGTACGTTTCCAAAAGAAAAAAAATAGGTTTTTTATACGGATACATATGTGTGGAGAAATATTTCTTAAAATCATGTAAATATGTGTTTTACCACACGATAATAATAAGAATGAATGAATGTTTTATTATTATATTTCTTTTTTATCCCTCTGTAGATGACGGACTAGATGTTAGGCCTAAACAGTATGTGCATGAAGATTGTAGAAAGGATTATTGCTATGACTATGATAAGAAAAGAAAACTTTCTGATGTCACGAACAATGTCATAAGAAGTCCAAAAACAAGGAAAATAGCTGGAAGTTAATTTGTATATGACAATAACTGTGTATTATGTGGGACAACGATAGAAGACGAAAATAAACTTGTTGGCGATGCTGTACATAAAGTTGAAACCTTTGACTTTCAAGACTCAATTAAGGGCATATGTAAAACGAGAAATGATGACTGGGCAAGTGAGATTCTTGGAAGAATAGAAGGTGTAAATGACCTCCCAGCAGCTGAAGCTCGTTATCACCAAAGTTGTAAACAGCAACTTTCGAACATTTAAAAAACGTTCCTGAAAAGTTTCAACATTCAACTCGTGAAAAAAATGAGAAAAATAGAGGAAGGCCATCTAATACAGCAAGTTCTGAAGCATTTTTTAGAAATTATGAAATATTTTTTGAAATGCATGAAAATGAACAACTAACTGTAGTCGATCTGGTGAACATTATGGATGAGAAGTGTGGAACTCACTCGTATAGCTCTGTATATATGAAGAAAAAAATCTTGGAGTATTTTGGAGACAATATCATTATTGCTGAGGTTAATGGTAAACACGATGTAGTGACATTTAAAAGTGAAGCACATGCTATCCTTCACTCGTTTTATAAGCGTAGTAAAACGTGATGAATGTATGTCTGAAAAAGAAGCAATCATAACAACAGCTGCTAGATTAATTCTAAACGATATAAAAAACATGGAAAAGGGAAAAGATATTTATCCTCCAGCAACAGAAATTAAATCATTGTCTTCAAATTTAAATTACTTACCTGACAGTCTGCATCTTTTTCTGCAAAAGGTTATTGACAATAAACAAGGCAAAAAGAAAATAGCTTCAATTGGACAATCTATTGTACAGACAGCAACACCAAGAAGTTTAGTATGCCCGTTACAGCTAGGTTTAGGGGTGATGATTCATCACATGTCCGGATCAAAGATGATGGTTGATTGCTTAAATAACTTAGGTAGCTATAAAATAAAACAGTTTAAGTCAAAATCATACATATATGAAACATGAGTCCATTTGTACTTGTGATCTTTAAACTCTAAACAAATATTTTAGTAAATAGCCAATATTAGAACCAAAGCTATAATTAAAGGTGTTTTTGCGATCAGTTACCTAGCATTTCTAATTAACTGCACCAGGTACTATTTTTATGGTTTAAAGAAACTCTTATGCAAAAAATGTAACACATGTCTATACTTTTTTAGGTTTCAGTGTGTCGTATCAGGAAGTATGTACATATGAAAGAAGTGCAGCAGTGACGCATGGTGTAAACATACAATCAATGAGTAATGGATTTTTACAGTTTATGGCGGACAACGTGGATCATAACATTTGTACAATAGATGGATTACATACATTTCACGGAATGGGAATAATAGCTACAGTAACACCAAAACTTAAGTGTACTCAAGTGATACCACGTATTAATGTCTCACGTGAAGAGGTTATACAAACAGCAAAAATTGATATACAGTTTTATAAGCAACCAAACTGTTTCATGGAAGAAATCAAGTTCAGACATCTGAAAGAAGTTTCCGGAGATGCAGAAGAAGAAGATCTTGAATTTATTCTGAAAATAGCAAGGTCATTGAGGGTTGAGTTACCAGGGTGGTCAGGAACAATGCAGATGATACAACAAGGGAGTCATTATGGTGAATCAACAATATTGTTTATGCCTATGATTGATATGAACTCAAGTGACCTTTCTTGCATATATTCAACTTTACATTTTGTCGCCAAGCAGTCACGAAATCACGGCACTTCAGCAGTCCTAACCTTCGACCAACCCCTTTACTGGAAAGCACTTAATATTGTCAAGAATGAATCAAATAATAGCGAAATAAAATCTATTGTGCTGCGGTTGGGTGGATTTCACTCAGAAATGAGTTTTCTGGGATGTATTGGGCGGCTGATGCAAAATTCTGGTTTAAAGGAACTTCTTTCAACAGTTTATGCAGATAATTCAGTAGTACATATGTTGGATGGAAAAGCTGTAAGTCGTGCAATTAGGGGTCATTTTTTGGTGGACGACGCATTTGAATTCTCTTTTATTTACAGAAGCTTGTAAATACTGAAGTCACACCCGAAAATGCAAATAGAATACAAGATTTTGATGAAGCAGAATTAGACGAGGCTTATGAAATTATAAATTGAAATAAAAAATGAAAAATGTGTTCCAAGCCTATTGAAAGATGAAAAACGTGAAAATTATGATTTCAAAATTTGATACACTAAAGACCCAAATTGTCTGAATTTAGAACAGCAAGACTTTGGATATTTACATACATGGACATGATTGATAATTTGAAATCATTTATTACAGCGGAACGGACAGGGAATTGGAACCTTCATCTCAAAATCCTTACAAAGGATGCTACCTTATTTTGCAGCAGCAGGTCATAATAATTACTTAAAATCAGCCTATATATATATATATATATCCAGGAAATGCTAGACTTACCGAACTGTAAACCAGAGGTATATCAAGCATTTTGCTCAGGCTTGCATGTTGTACGCAGGACCGACAGATATTGGGGAGGCCTCTCAACTAATTTGGTTATTGAGCAAGTTTTAATGAGGAGTTTGAAATCAGCTGGTGGTTTGACAAGGGGAAGAGGCATGACAGAGTCTCAAAGAGCACAGTGGTTATTATCTGCTCCTGCAATGGCCGAAGTAAATCAAGCAATGCAAGAATTCACGGGTTCAGCTACGGAGTCTGAATTAAATTTACAACACAAGGAAGCTTCAAAGGCAAGAATTGAAAGAGATTCTAAAGACCGTGATTGTTTCCTTGATTTTTTAAGGCAACGGAACCCATTTACTGAAAGAAAAGAACTTAAGAAATATCGAAACAGGCGTGACGGGAAATGATTCAGTGACCGTCGACACAGCCAAACAAATTGGTTGAAAAAATTGTAAGTAAAATGGAAGGTCAAAAAGTAACAAGCTTTAGCTTTAAACGAAAAGATGAGGCTACAACTTTGGCTACTCAGAACTTAGTTAAACCTAGTGACGTTTGCGTTTATTGATGTTGATCCTCAAGTACTTTTTCAACGGCTCATTGTTGTATCTGACTCAACTTTAGACAATACTGAGGAAATGTTTAAATATGAATTAAGTGGTAAACCATCAAGTCTTTTTGACAGTGGAGGTCTTTTAATGGAGGCAGAAAAGCCGAATCTTATGAATTCAATATGGGGACTAGGTAATTGTGGCCCTAATGAAAAGATAGAGGAACATGTGAAGTACATTCTGGATGGCGGATCATTGATTCAAAGAATTCCGTGGAAATACGGGGCATCCTTTCACGATTGTACCAATTTATCATTTTGACTACCTAATATTCTACTTCTTTTGTTTGCTAATTAATTTATCTTACATAAGATCTGAAGCTTTTACTCTGATTGTTTAAATTGAAATTTATTAACAATTTTAAGTAAATATAGCCAGTTTCATGTGATAACAGAAAATTAAGAAAAAATGTACATAACCTTCCAATATACTCATAGGCTCAAAGCAAACTAATTAGGCCAACTCTTTATTACTTTTTGACAAAGTAATATACTTTTTGACAAAGTAATATAGTTATGCTCCTGTTTAACTTGATTAACATTAGCTTTAATAGCTTTGAAACCAAAACATGTTTAAAAGTGGCTTGCAGAATGACCTGGGTCTAAATTGGTATCTTAGACGAGTCATAATTGTTGCTATCATGGTAATATAATGTACTCCTTCATTTCAGACTCTGTATTCTTTTTGTACATTTGTGGTATGGATCACATTTAGACGAAAGGATTTTGAAGCTGTTAAAAAAGAAGTGGGAAGGTAAGCATATAATGAAATGGCAAAAAGCAATTTGTTTGATAGGTTTACAGATAGAAAAATTTCATTTTGTAATGACAGCTATACCGAATATTATAAAATGTGTATGCTGACAACAAAAATAAATGATAACTGCTGTACATGCTTTGTACTCAGATAGAATTGCACTGTAATTGGCACTACATATAACTTAAGTAGTGCAGTGTGAAATAAATAAAACTTTATCGAAAATGTCAAATGTAAAGATTGGCAGATTAAAGGTTGAAAATACCTGCACATAAAATCATGAATGACAGCATTCTCTATGGAGTGTAACAAGTTTGTTAAATTATTAGAATTCATTAAGGGAAAATTTTACACTCAAGAAGTAGATGAGAAGTTAAAGCATTTTACATTCATAGCGAAGAAGGTTAATAGTTTGTAAATTAGCTTTAACATTAAAACATGATTTTGTAGTGTGCAGAACACATTATGGTAATATCCACATATCTCTACTACATTAAACAAATGCATTGTGATGTAGGGAAGATTTCTGCCTGGTAAACTAATGAATGTTGTTTTCTTTATTTTAGAATGTTACGATCAGATACATTTAATCCAGCAATAAGAGTTAAGAATGCGCCAGAAGGTAATGTACCAGTAAATTTACTTCATTGACATCATTTCCTAATTAACTATGCACTGAATGTAAATGATGCATACTGAAAGGCTTGCATTTAATAGATAGATTAACACTTGATTACTTAAGCATCAATTGTTTTAAATCATTTTATTATTGCATTTTTGTATGATAAAAATACTGAAGAAGGAATTTACACAGATTGTCTGTTAATTAACATATTGATATCAAGAGCATCTGCGTAATATGTAGAAATATGTGGAACATATAAATGTGTGTACAGTGTTCATATTTACTGGAACTCTGATATCTGGTAAATCAATTAATAAGAGATATAAGTAGATCATTTCATTTGATATAAAGAAATTTCTTAACTATTATTCAAATGTACAAAGCTTACTGAATACATTTAAACTATTCAACACCTGTTATAATCAAATGTAGGTATGTTTATATTTTGGAAGCATTATGTAATACATATATATGTAGTGATGACTTCCCTGTCTTACATTTTGTAATAACTTCCAGAGAAAGAAACAGAGAAAAGAGAAGAGAAGTCTGATGATGGAAAAAAGGAAATTAAAATCGAGAAGACGATAACACCTGCTGAGAACAGACGACTACATCCGTGGGTTTAATTCGTAAAAACACTAATTATAAGATTAGAATAACAAAGCATGCCATAAACATTTGAGATTTTCAATTAGATCATGATCAATGTACCAAGTAATTTCTTTTAAATCATGATTTTTACATGGGTGTGTTACAAAATCGTGCTTTTGTGAATCTGTTTTATTTTTTATGTTTCAGGAAAAGACCAGCTATCAAGTCTATTATACAGTAAGTGAAAAAGTTAGATATGGTAATTGGATGACTGAGTTATGAACAACAAATGTTTAACAACAAATTTGCACATCTTTGGTTTTTATAGTTTTTAGAGTCTTAAATGCTGCAAGCCAGAATGATTTCTCTCTTTTTTCAATCCCATGGAATAAATTATAAAACAATACATCCCATTCAAAAGTTTGTTGAATTTTATTTTAATCTACAAAACACTCATTAGGATGATTTTGAACACAGAAACATATTTTCAGAATAACAAGAACTCCAAAAGAGTAACAATTGTGTTTGTTTAAGGTACATTATGGATAGAATTTTATGAGGGACTTACAGTATTTCATTTTTATTTTGTTTTAGTTCCATAGCATTAACACCATTGTTTATTTGATGTTCTCATAACACATATAATAACATCATTATGATATGTAGAGATTTATTTTGCATATATTAATTTGTTTTTCAGTCAGAGATCACCTGCTATTGTAGCAATACTGCCCTCACCTAAAGAAGAAGCTCACTGGTTGTTCAAGACACGCAAGTAAGACATTCCTTCTGGTCTCTGACAATCATACAGCCTATTATTTTATTATGACTAAAATTTTAGCGTAAGATTTGTTTTCTCTGTAAAACCTTTGCTAGTTTGAAGTTACATATGTTTTCAGTAACCACATCTACATTAAATTTGATGTGATTGACAAAATTTATGTAGTTGCATGATATTTTATTTTTAGCTCACCTGTCACAAAGTGACAGGGTGAGCTTTTGTGATCGCTTTTCGTCCGGCGTCCGTCCGTCCGTCGTCCGTCCGTAAACTTTTACTTTAAATGACATCTCCTCATAAACCACTAAGCCAATTTCATCCAAACTTCACAGGAATGTTCCTTTGGTGGTCACCTTTAAAAAATTGTTCAAATAATTTAATTCCATGCAGAACTCTGATTGCCATGGCAACCAAAAGAAAAAACTTTAAATATCTTCTTTTAAAAACCCAAAGAGCTAGAGCTTAGATATTTGGCACGAAACATCTTCAAGTGAGTGTCTACCAAGTTTGTTCAAATAAAAGCCCTGGGGTCAAAATTGGTCCCGCCCCAGGGGGTCATTGATTTTCCCTATATGCATATAGTAACAACTTAAAAAATCTTCTTTTAAAAAACCCAAAGAGCAAGAGCTAAGATATTTAGCATGAAACATGTTCTAATGGGTGTCTACCAAGTTTGTTCAAATAAAATCCCTGGGGTCAAAATTGGCCCCGCCCCGGGGGTCATTGATTTTCCTTATATGTGTATAGCAAAAACTTAAAAAATCTTCTATGAAAAAACCCAAATAGCTAGAGTTAAGATATTAAGCATGAAACATCTTCTAGTGAGTGTCTACCAAGTTTGTTCAAATAAAAGCCCTGGGGTCAAAATTGGCCCCGCCCCGGGGGTCATTGATTTTCATTATATGTGTATGGCAAAAACTTAAAAATCTTCTTTGAAAAAACCCAAATAGCTAGAGTTTAGATATTAAGAATGAAACATCTTCTAGTAAGTGTCTACAAAGTTTGTTCAAATAAAAGCCTTGGGGTTAAAACTGGCCCCGCCCCAGAGGTGTCATTGTTTTTAACTATATGTGTACAGTAAAAATTTAAAAAATCTTCTTTTAACAAAACCCAAATAGCTAGAGGTTAGAGTTTCAGCAGGAAACATCTTTTTGTTGGTGTCTACCAAGTTTGTCCAAATAAAAGCCCTTGGGTTTCAATTAGCCCTGCCAAAGGGGGGGGGGGCGGAGGTCATTGTTTTTCATTATATATGTGTAGTTAAAACTTAACATTATGAAACATCTTCTAATGAGTGTCTTCCAAGTTTGCTGGGGTTTAAACTGGCCCCGCTCCAGGGGCCTATATACAGGTGAGCGACCTCAGGGCCATCATGGCCCTCTTGTTAAGGATAATGAACAGTTAAATTTTTAATGTTTTATAGTTGAGATTCTGCTATCTGCTACATTAACTCTATGTTGTCATATATGGACCTTTCCGTTTTTTCGTAGCGGAACATTTAGCCACACATTTTCCATTCATTGCTAGGTCAACTGCTCACAAACAGTATCACAAACATAAGCACGCATTCTTTTGTGCAAACCAGGTCAACCAGTGACTATGTATTATCTCACTGTAGCGATTGGATAACAAGTTAGCCAATTTACATAAAACTGTAAACACCGGAAAGGTCCATTATAGTAATAGTTACCGATATGAACAATGAGCTATATTATTATAATATTTTCAGCTTACTGGGTAAAATGGATAATGAGAAAGACAAAGATAACAGTGAAGACGATGATGATCCAAATAAAACAATCTTTGTCATTGACAAAAGAAATTTTAAGTATGTCACTTGACTTATCTACAATTAGGCACTTCTCTTCAATTTCAGTATAATTTTTTTAACCGATGATAAAATATCAAAGAAATATTTTTATTTTGCCAATTATATAAACTTAAAATTAAACTGAGGATCCGAGATGAAAATTAACTATTCTCACAATTGAATGTTAGATAAGTAAGAGTTGTATGTATAAATTTAAAAAGCTTAAGCTCTAAGGAATAAATTAAGACATAAGAACTGCATTAATGAAGTTTGATTTATGAGTTGTTAAAAATTTGATGAGTTGTAATATTTAGATATTTAATTAATGGATACTTTGTATTGTTTAGAATTGGTATATTGGGCGACTCCCTAAGTCAGTATAACCCAATAACATTGTCACCAATGGGAGCAGACAATGAGGGTGAAGATGGGGAACAGAAACAGGTTGATGATAATACTGCCGATAAACCTCAAACTGGTAACTTATCCTTGGTGTACTTATTAAAAATTTTATAAATCATTATTATATATTATTGAGTAAGTCAATATGATGTAAAGAATTTGCAATCTGTTATCGTTAATTGAAAGGAAATGTTAATTTGTATGAAGATGAGAAGTGTAACAAGACTATGAGATATATTTGTTGTACATGAACACAAAATACTCAGAAGTGAGCTTTTGTTATAGCAGTTGTCAGTTGTCCATTGTAATCCATAATTAATAACAGCATCTCCTTAAACAATATGGTTGACATTTACCAAACTTCACAGGACTATTTCTTAGTTGGAACTGTACAAAAGTTACATAAATGGTTAAAGTTTGGTGCCTAAAAAGCTCATATGGTAAAAAGTGGAACAGCATATGCTTACTTTCGAAATCTTTTTTTTTTAGAAACTACAGCTTAGATATATGGCATAACATTACCTAATGGTCTTCTTGAATATGCCCATCAGTGTCAGAATTGGTCCTGGCTTATAGGTCACTTAATTTGCAAAGATTTATATAGTAAAATACATTTAAATCTAGTGGAGATTCGCAAAGTCCATTGCAAGATATTTGGTGACATTGCTTAGTTGACAATCTATAAAAGATTTATTAAAAGTAGACCTTGAATCAAACCTTGCCTCTTCATGAGATTTCCTAGCAATATGTCTTGTGTGTGCGATCTCGGTCAATATTGTTGCTGAGGCAGTCACAGATGCTTTTACTGAGGACTGAGATTTGTTTATATTTGTCTCAAAATGGAGAAAAAGAACTGTAAAATATCTTTTTAAAAAACATTCAAAGCTATAAGTGATATATTATTTAAAAGAGTTTAATTATCCGTCCTATATTGTTGTCTGTGATAAAGTTATTTCACTTGTTGCATTTAAGCTATTTCTTGATTTACTATTGTACATTATAATTTACATTGAACACGGTTAGGATGTAGATTTTACCTCAAAAAATAACAAATTTACCTTCGTAGACAATAAAGTTGTTACGTTTTTTGCCTTTATTGATAAGACTTTGTACGTCACTATTCAAAATGCACTATAGTACATACATTTTGAATTACTTAACCAAATTTCAATAAAACTTGATTTAATAGATAGTTCACAGTTGATGCATATTGAATATAGTGATATTTTTTTCTTTGTATGAAATATTTTATACAGATTTTTCCTGGTGAAATGTAAAAGCCAACAAGCCAAATATCTGTTCCCACAAATAAAGAACAAGATAATCGTTTTGCATAACATGGTGTTGCCAAGGAAAATTATCTTATTGGCGAGCACTTGTTACCTGATGATGATGGTTATCTATATGTTAGGACATGATTTGTTGCCAATCAAATAATTATGAACATTAACTAACGAGTTTTCAGCAGGAAATTTATCTGCAACAACTTAGATACTGGATAAAAGTTTTGGTATACATTATATATTTTAGAACTATGCTGTTGTTGTAAAATGTCAGTGGCCAAATTTCACACTTTATATTATTATAATTATTGAGTTTTGTTCCAATAAAACTTAAAATGATATGTTGTTTTCTTTTTAATCTACGTTCATTAATTAATTTATTCATTTAATTCCATCAATTTACTACATCAAAACATGCAAATTAATACTACTATACACAACGTAAAAAAGTACATTGTCACTCATGATTGATTTATAGAGACTTATATTAACATTTTACCTTACATTAAACATTTTACTAAAAAACTATTTACATATTGCCAAAGCTAAGAAGCAGACCCTATTCATAACATTAATATGATATTATAATTATGAAAAAGGCACTTCTAAATGCTAGGAAAAAACGCTAAAATGGAAATCAACCCGATTCGAAGAATCTATTTTCTTAGGGGTTATTACAGAATACAATTAACAATTAGAAAAGAATTACTTTATTTCGAAAGATAAAAATATCGTCTGTTTAAATAAAATATTGTCTGAAATTAAAATCAACTAAATAATATCTTGCATGTTATTGAAGGACAGAGCCGTACTATAAATGATTTGTTTCTAATATCATCAAAGTGCAGTTGAAACTAGCACGAGTTTCAGTTCCAATTATATGAGATGTTATTTAATGTCCATATGCAGGGATTGTGACATAAACATAAATTTAACTTCCTTAAAGGTACATGCCTCCAGAAGAGTCGAAATATTTCAATAAAATCAAACTTGTGAAAATGCACTAAGGTTTACGTAAGGAAAAGTAATATTTTACATATATGCGATAAATTACTGTTTTTCAATACTTACAACTATATTTTTACTGCGTTAATAACGAAGTACAGGCTATTTATGCATATTTTGACCACTTTTTGGTAATTTACGTGGTGTGTAAGTGCCATTGATAATGTGTAAGTTGCTTCCTTTGGGTTACTTCACAATATTACAAATTCAAATACATTTTAAAAATTTTAATTAAAATTGGGATGAATCTGGAGTCGTGCTGCTTTAACTTGATATAACACCCGTAAAGATGAGAATGCTTATTGTCATACACCACTAAAGGAAATCCCTCACACATAGGAAAGACGAAAATAGCAAATCGGTTTATATGACAGCCCATGTGATCGACTGAGCCATTTATGACTTTATTTTTGTGCACTAGTCATTATTACAATTAAAAATACACGAGATCTTTGTTTCAACAAGTATTGTTCTTTATGATTTCCCACAACAATCCTAATCTATAATGTATACTTTTTAATAGGTATTCTGTATGATTATAATTTCTAAAGCTCTGGCGCGATTTTTCCCCTTTTTCCAAAATATTCAATGAAAATAAGCAGTAAAAGCGATGAATGTAAACTGATAAAAAATGAAGCAATCAAGCTGAATAAGGAGTTTAAACGTTTTTGGGAGGAGTGCATTTTTTTCACAAAGGCCTGGAAGGAGAATTTAAACTGGCGCAGATAATTTTCTTACTTTTCCTCCTTTTTTCTTTCTTTCTTATTTTATTTCTTGACTTTTTTAAAATATTTAAGACATACATGATTGATTTGAGCGTTACTTTATCGATTCATTTCAATCATGTCTATAATCATTCAAAGTTTAAGAACATTCTCAGTGCTAGTTTAAATTTAAAAAAAAAAATTCTTTACCTTGGTAAAAATATTGCACTGCTCTGGGGAAAAACGTCTTTAAAAAAGCAAATATGCATCATTGATAACACTTTGCAATCGTAAATCATGATACTATGTCCTAAACAACATCAACCGTATGAGTCCTGCATAAGGCCACTATTGCATGGATTTCAGCTAAGTCTGTGAGCGATCTAAAACAGTAGCTAAAACTTATAATGAATATCGCCAACATGAAAATTATCTCGTCGCTTAGAGACATTTTATATTATTCCATTTTTCGAGAATAATTTCTAAGGTTTAATATAACGATAAGGAGGGATTCGTCTTCCAAGGACTTTTTTAATTTTTTCTTTGGAACCAAGACAGGTTCTCTACAGTTATTTCTACAATGATTATTGTTTTATCTAGAAATATTATTTCAAAATCACTAACTTACCTTATAATGTACAAAAAAAAAAAATTAAATAGTATTCTGTGTCAGCTTTGCCTTTTAAATTAAATAATTAATTAATATGTTATAGAATAAAAAAACAATAGTGTCTACTGAATTATACAGGTTATACTCTGATCTGAATTTTTATTTAAAGTCACGTTTGCATAAACTTTACAACAGAATATTCTTATTTATGTACCCTGGAATATTGAATGGGAACTATACCATTTCGGAATGTTACGATCAGATACATTTAATCCAGCAATAAGAGTTAAGAATGCGCCAGAAGGTAATGTACCAGTAAATCTTCTTCATTGACATCATTTCCTAATTACCTATGTACTGAATGTAAATGATGCATACTGAAAGGCTTACATTTAATAGACAGATTAACACTTCATTACTTCAGCATCAATTGTTTTAAATCCTTTTTTTTATTACAGATCTTAATTTAATGACATGACTAATCTAAACCACGCTGATACATGTATCTCAATTAGAATATTGGACTATCATAAGAACATGTGCAAATCATCGACAATTTGGTATACTAGTATAAGGTTTAAAAATGCTGAAATATATCGAATCAAAAATACTATTTCATTTTACCCATTATATAATTTTATAAGACGTAATTAACTAGACTCTTGTTATAATAGATGTAAAAGAAACCAGACTATTTTCTTAAAGCTTTATAAGATTTAGTTATATTTTTATATATTTATGAAGACTTTTAAAATAAGAATAGCAATATATGTGATTTACATTACATATTGTACATTTTCACGATTTAAGAATGTATTAGTGTACTGTGTAGATTCTTCTCACAACAAAAATTGGTACAAAAGTACAAAAGCTTACAGTTGATAACAATCTTCATACAAATTATTTTTCAGCTTTCTCCCATGAACAGATAAGTAAAAACAATTGTTTTAAGATAAAAATCAGAAGCACATGTTCTAAGAGAGGAATTGTGTAATAATTGAATGAATAAAGT